GGTGAGGTGAGTGTGCGTACGTTCGAAGCCAATAATTTCGAAAAGTCCAAATATGACGCGAGAAACCGATCAAACGATTTAGCGCAATGTTTCAAATTTTATAAGCGATTCATAAAAATACAAAACCACAAAATAAAATATAAATTAAGGCAGAATTTGATTTCTTTGAAGGAATCAACATGCTAATTCAGAATTTCCACCTTGCGTCATCCTAAAAAGACATTTATTTATTTTAAAAGCATTATCAATTCGTTTTTGTCAATACAAAATTTAAATATACAATACTAAATATACAATACTATATACAATATTAATACAATATTTCATTAGTACAATATATTTATGTTTAAAAATATGGCATATAATTTGCCTAATTTTTATTCATTGCTTACGTTAAATTTTAGGCTGGAATCGTGAATTTTGAATTGTTTGCCCACTTTACAAGTTTATGATACATTACATATGTCAATGGAACATTATTAATAAACGGAAGATCCGTGCTTTTATGAATCGTACATTTTACCTAAATTCCATTTCATAAAACCATTTAATCATTTCGTCTGCACCATTTTTTAGTAACGGATTCTCAGACTTCCTACGAATATGTAAGCACATAGATATGTATTAGAATTAGATAAAATTTGGTAAAATCGTTTGGTCTTACCAGTAATAAAGATTTCAATTCACATTAACATTCGCCCTCTTTTATTTTTTCATATTACATTTTTATTCTCTTCCTTTTCTTATTGTAAGCCATTATCAAAGCCCAAGGCTAGAAGCCCTATCTGTGCTCTTGCTCATAAATAAATGATCCAAGAAAAAAAATATTGGCGATAATAAAATGTTAAAATAAGTATTATAATTCCTTCCTCAACGTTTATTTTCATTAGCGTAGTGTTTGGCTATATTATTTACTTCTGGTCAGCATCTCTCCACTGGCTGCTGAGAAGAGATAGAAAATTACTTTGCAAAGAAAAGATAAAAGTGCGGAGAAGTCCTCATCACTGATTTTTTATAGTGCTTTGAGAGAAGGGCCAATCCGGTATGTTTGAACCAATAATCTAGTAATAAGGAACTAATATGCAAAATACCATCCTATTATGCTATCTCCATTTCCATGAAAAATACTTGTATATAATATTTGCTATGATATTTGATTTTACTGTTATCCGGAAAAAAACTTATTACATCCTCTTCACCATAGCTTGTCATATTTTGTAAATACCGTTCTTAATCACTTATCCCGAAGTTCTATGCTCCTTTATCAAAATCGACATCTCAAATTTCTTTTCGCCACTTTATCAGGCTTAGTTCCTTTTGTTCTTTTAACGTTTTTTTGCACTGTAATTTTGCCACCCGCAATTAATTTTGGTTTGACGGTGTTCACCATTATTGGTTTCGTTAGTTCTACTAGCTTTCGTCGCAGAAGCTCATGGGATATAGATATAGGCGATATCCCCGGATACCTGGATTTCCCCTGGTAACTGTATTTATTACTTTATTTTGTGATGGCATTGAGGGTATAGCAGGATTAAAAATGAATAGAGAATAAGTGTTTTGTGGAAATACCAAAGGATATTCCAGATTTTAAAAATAATTTTGCCAACTCTGTAGGAAGTTTTTACTATGTAAGTCGAATATTTTTTCAGCAAACACAGTTAAACAAATTGTTTTTTCATATTCTTCGTAATTTATTGTTTCTTTTTTCATATAATGCCAATTTGCAATTTGCTTATTTCATGAGGAAAAAAACCTACCATCATAAAGACCAATACTTTGGTGATAAATACTTTTACTTTTTTAATACTTTTATACTTTTATACTTTTACTTTACTTTTTTTAAGAATACTCACCATTGCTGCTTAGGCTAGCTCCGGATTTACTGGATTGTCAGGACAGATAAATTTTACTATTTTACTAGGAATTCACTTGGCAATAAAAATACAAATGAGCTGCTAGCATGAGCTACCTGGGTTTTTCGAAGGCTTATGTCGGACGTAGAATTTAACAACCCATTGAACCATGCAAATATAAGAATCATTGATAACTCACTATGAAAAGTGCTTTCAACAATCCATCGGCGAACATTCCTATCAAGCCTTTTTCAGCACATCGACACAATATTTCAAAACATTCATTTGCGTTCATGTTACTAAAATTTTTAAGATAAATATATTGTTAGTTTAGACAATAGTTAATTCAAAATAAAACTGAGTTGCAAATAATACGACAAATAATTTTTCGATTTATAAAAAATTCAATTAATTTTAAGAAAAATAATTTACTGAAATATGAATAGGTAAAATCCACGTCTTAGAAATATTGCATCAAAATTATCGCTTCCGTCCATAAAAATTTCATGGAAAAAATTTTCAATAATTTCATTTGTAAAAAAATTTTTGCAAAGATCTTTTCGTATTTCACTATTGTAACCAGTAAAACTCATCAAAACTCGTTTGCAAAAACTATCTTCTCCCATGTAAATGCTATTTAGCTGAAAAATTCTTGTGTCTAAAACTATTTAACATCTAAAGAATTCAACAAAATTAAGTGTAAAAGTGGTTCAAATTTTAAAAATTTAAATCTGGATTTAAATTTATTTAAGCAAAAGTTCGAAAAAATGCTGAATTTTCAATATAAGTGATAAGCTAAATCAAGTTTTGATGATTTAAGAAATAAGTAATTTGGTTAAAAATCATGAAGAATCATGCTTTTCTTAGTGATAAATAAAGGATAAAATTACAGCAATTATAGCAATAACATCGGGTCGAGTAAATGAGAAACATTCATCTCTTTCACATCCACAAAGAAAATGCAGAAATTGCTTAAACTGCTTAGGCGTAAAATTATCGTTCAAAACCAAGTCTATCGTTTCTTTGAATTCCATTTCGTTTTTATATTCATAATAAATCATTGCCTAAATTAATAATATTTTCGACTATACCACAAAAAAACAATCTCTCATCTCCTGTGAGTGGTAAAAATTATCCTCAACCTTGGATCCTCTACCAGAGGTTCTACGTAATATTCTAGTTGTTTCTAGGAATGCGTTATTCTGTATAGAGATCTCAGAGAAATATTATTTTGGAACTACATATATATATATATATATATATATGCATGCATATGTGAGCCAGTATGTGAGCAAAAGGTCATTGCGAGCCACACCAGAGACTCAAAATATCAGCTACCCATAGATAGCAGTAACATCGCTTAAGACTCAAGGTCTTGACAGATCAGAATTTCGATTGATTCTATGACTTAATGCCGCACACACGGATCTGTGTATTGTTCTATTCAAAACAAACAGAATTGTAAAAACTTTCGTCGAGAACTAAATGGAACTGTACAAAAGATATTTGAAGCCAAAAAGCTTTCATAAGCGGCTATCTACTGTCGCATATATCGAAGCAATGCATTGCTGTTTTGCATAGATTAAAACCCCTTTAGCCAAATAATCTCATGAAATGGATACGGAGGTAAACTCCAGGGCGGAATCACCATCAACCATCTTCACTGCATGGATGATATCAAATTATGAGCTAAAAGCACTGAGACACTGAATTATTCATTTATTTAATCTGCAAAGATTTCCTTCGAATTCGAGAAATGTAGCCGGATGGTAGTAAAGAAAGAAAAAGTAGAGTTAGAGTAGTTAGGGCTGATAGGGTAGAATTACTAGAGAGGCATAAAGGCTATAAATACTTGACATCTCACAGATAGGAGCCGCGATGAAGAAACAAGGAAAACAGCAATGTCCAAATATTACCAAAGAGTAAAACATATCTTGAATAGCAAGCTCTATAGGAAGAACAAATCCATGCCATAAACATGCCCTACCAGCCATCAGATAAATTGGCATGCGATGGTCAAAGTAAGACATGGAAACTGCGATGTAAAAACATGGAAACTTCTCACAATGCATGGGAATTTTCACTCCAAATCTAATATCCAAAAATTGTACTAAGGGAAAGAAGTGGATGAGAACTAATTGGTATCAAGATCACTGTCTTGATTGAAACCCAGCATTCAAGAATACATCAGAAAATGGCATCAAGGGATAAGCTGCTGCGAAAATCTGAAGTATCAACAGAAAATAAGAGATAACAAAAAGAGATAATGATCTAAGGAAGTGCCGAGGTAAAGCAAGACCCCAATAGGACCTACTATTAACAGATAGCTACTATTGAGGAGGTATTGAGAAATCTTACCAGTGGTTGGAAAAAGCTTGATTCCATCATTATCTCCAGATTAAAAGGCAACATTGGGGCAAGAACAGGTATTAAGATCCACAAAGATCTACACTATCAGAATCAAAAGATGAAAGAACGTTTTAGGAACTCGAAACATATAGTGGCATGGAGGAACCATCAATCAGTGAAAGGCATGACCAATTAGCTATTATCATGATTTTCTGAGGGATCTTCCATCTGGTCTTGGCCAATGAATATATTGAACACTGAATATTTGCACGGGAATATTTACTCTCCCAAAACCAGATGGAAAATCCCTCAGAAGATCATGGGGATAATAGGGCCAAGATTGTGTGAGACTTCCTCATCCAGACACGCATAATATTGGCCAATCAACCAAATCTCGTGGTAATATAAGAAACAGAAAGCGGCATTTGCAAGGTAAATACCAAGTGACAGGAACAACAGGAAGAAGAAATGTGAGAAGCTAGAGAAATACAATGAGCTAAAAAAAAAAGATGTGGAAAGGTTAAAATATCCGCTGGTAGCAGGACTAGGTCTCGACCTCCAAACTAGAAAAATTGCTCCAATAAATCTTAGGAACAACACCAAAGATTTTTGATAAGATGAATACTCTAATAGGAATTGAGACATTGCAGAGGACCTTCAAGATCCTAGGCCACTAGCACAGGACTGAAGTTTAGGATAACCCAGAGCACCCACAGTGCCTGAGAAAATTTATTTATGTGAATTAATGCTTAAATTAGCGGTTCTAGCACTATGGACTCGACTCATTCAAACCTACTATTAAAAATCAAATCTGGGTGCTGATACAGAATCAGAACCCACATCACCTCTACCACTCTGTATTTCGTTAAAAATTATATAAATTTAAATATTGGAACGTATTGGAACGATTAAATTCCAGCATTCCACTTAAAAATAATTTTAAATAATAATTAACAAGCAGAATTTCAATTTTAGGATTTAATTTTTTTAACCTTCATGAAAGCAAATTTTTAAAAAAAAGGATAAATTGGTGTTAGCGGAAGAAGTTAGTTCTGCTAAACCACTATTTTGAAAAGGCAACCATCAATTTAAAATACATAAAAAAATAATCTATTGTAAATTAAAGAACCTCAATGACTTTGGATTTAGTAAGCACTAATGGTCTGGGAAGGATTTCGATATGTTCACCATGTTTCGTGAAGAATCTGATCTTCTTGTTACTTCGCTTTCGCAGCCTTTGCACAACACATCCGATTTGTGAATATTTCTCATGTTTCCAATGTTTCCAATGTGGCATAAAGCGAGGATTTTTTTGAATGACAATGCTCGAATATTTAATTGCATTGCAAATTGCAGTGAATGCTTTTCGCTAAAAAAAGTGCCCAAAAAACAATAGAAATAGATGTGAAAAGACCGTACTAAATAAATTATATAGAAACTAAAAATTTTATTTTATATTTGCTTAATTAAAACGTTTTAGCATTAAAAATTTACCAGTTCAATCAAAGCTTCGAAATTTTTGGTTTTATTAATGTTTAATTTAGAACTGTAAGCTAACGTAGATAATAATTCACGCAAATGCTTAAAAGTTGTGTTTTCAATCAATTTACCTTTTTCGTTTTCTCTCTTTCTGAAAAAAATTTATTCTTTTGACTAAGGTTGCTATTGCTATTTTGTGGTTAACATTCAACATTTGTTGTTAGACGTCGCTGATGCTAGGAGGAGATGATTTTTACAGTAAATAATGATGAACAATTTATGAATAAATAACTTATATTTCGCTTAATTTCGCTTAATTAAATATCCCATCTGTCTCTCTCTTCTTTACCTCTTCTAAAAAAAATTAGATGTTGGTAGCGACAGATGAATGTAAAATTAGGGAATGAAAAGGATTTTTTACTGTATTTGGACTTGTTGAGTCGCCAAAGCAAATATTGAAGAGATACAATTCTTCAAGATGCAATCGAACGTTGCATGATGTAGCTCATCGCGTTCGAAATATTTTAAGGTTCGGTTTGAGATTTCGCCATAATGTCCCAAAAAACTGATCGTAAAATCTTCAAACTGCTTCTGAGAAACTAATTGACATACTCTGCATTCGCTATCCCTGAAATTTATAAAAAATTTTTCCAGCTCAACAGTTAAATTTTTTAAAATTCTTTATTCATTACTATTTAAAAAGTCTGTTAAGTTTATATGCATTTACTTTTCTTGGAGTTTAAGTTAAGCCTAGCATGGCCAGATCGGGGTTCGAATAAACCAGCTTTGGAGAATTTTAAGGATGAAACTTTTTCAGAGAGCCTTTGATAGTAATATGTTGTATTCTTCTGGGGAGTTAAGAATTTCTCGAAAAAATATCAAGAAAATAAGTGCTATAAGTAAAAAGAATAAGAATTCAACTTATCCACTTCAATATTTGCTGTATTTCGAGAAAATTCGGCACTAAAGACCATTCGATGATTTCGTTTATCTTAAGATGTTGAAAAGTGAGATAGAATGCTTCGAAAAATCCATGTTTAAAATCACCCACACATATTAGACATTTTAATAGCACAAAAGTCAACTGAAAGTGTAAATATTGTAATTGGTGTCGTCAGGAAATTATTATCGTCAAAGCAAAAACTTCAAAATTTTTCAATAAAAATCTTACAGCTTTGTTGGAATTACTAAATATCGCGTGTCGAAATCGCGGTATTCCAAAATATTTACATATGACGTTTAATATTTCTCGAATTAACTGAAAATAAAAAGAAAAAGAATATTTAAATCAAAATATGTATATGTAATATTCATTTTACGGAAGTAAAATCATAAGGGCGATGTTAATACTTACTTCAATCCTCAGCGAAATCCTTTTAAGATAGATCGTGGAAAAATGTCTCGAAGAGATTTGAGAAATCCGATCGATAAAACGAGAATTACTGAAAATGCCTTCTAATTTCAAAATAAAGGAATACTGCCATCCACAAATCTTTTTCGATTTTTTCGCATTGAGACAAAAAAACCTTCTTAATCCTTCTAATCCATTAGTTCCCCGAACTCTGCTAGTAATTATACTGAAAAGAATGAAGAAAACGCGACATCGATTAAAAAACCCAAGCCCAAGCCAAGGTAATTAAACGATTATTCTAATCCATTAGTTCCCCGAACTCTGCTAGTAATTATACTGAAAAGAATGAAGAAAACGCGACATCGATTAAAAAACCCAAGCCCAAGCCAAGGTAATTAAACGATTATTGATTAGGCCTTTTCATTTAAATTCGAAAAACAGGAAAGTTCACCTCTCAGAGCAAGAAAGCTTTTCACATCCTGTACTATGCAAGAAAAAGCAATATTTCCGGATTGTATATTGTTCTTCTGACATGCGATTTGATTCAATACCAATCTTTAACATTTTAGCACTCTTCTAAATAAATAGATAAATAGATTTCGAAAAAAACAGCAAAGATTATTACAACAATTTCCAACAAATTTGTGTTATTTAGAGTTAAAAAATATATTAGAAATGGCACATTGCATTTATTTTTCCAATTTTCCTAGAAAAGACAGTAATTATTCTTGAAGGAACTTATGTTAGAGGTTTAATTTGGAAGGTATGACTTTTAATCCTAAAATAATTTCAAAAAAAAGCAATAAATAACCTCCAAGCATGGTATTGTAAAATCGTCGCCGTATGCCGACAAATGTTGTGAAAAGGCGTTGAAAGCGTCGTTCACGAAGCACTCAACATCACCAACGTAAATACTGTTGACAAAATAACTGCAAAATCAATCTTATAAGAACATCGAAATTTGTGAATACGAATTTGTGAAATTATTTTTCTGCAAAAAAAGCCATACGTGATTTGATGAAAATTATTTCTAAAGCTTTAATTATTAGACTATGAAAATTAAATCTGAGAATTCATTCGAACAAAGTATTTAGGAGATAATTCACATGAAAAATTATTTGATAAAAGAGGGAAAAATAATGTAAAATACTTTAATGAATTGACGACCAAAATCTGAGATTTTGACAATGGTCCTCTTATAAACGACAATAAGTAGTCGAATATTTCTTTGCATAACAGATGCCTTATTGATATACGATTCTACAAAATATTTAAAATAGTTATCATGATTCGACGTGAAATGGACAGATAACCAAACAAAAAACATTTTATAAGAGATATTTTTACTTAAAGGATATTTCATTTTCAAATTTCTATTTCTTAGCTCTTCTCCATTTCTATAAGAAGAATATAATAAAATTATTACAACGGCAAAGCAAAGAAGAAGGTCCAAAACTTTTTCAGATTGAATCGATAAGAGATCTTCTTCTCGAAATTGTTTTATCAGTGCGACACAAGTTTCGATGCACCCAAGTTTTTGAACTTCACATCGAATAATTTGTGAATGATGACAAATATGGATAAAGAATTCTGATAGGCATGGTAGGAAAGATGCTTTTGTAAGATATTCTTCCAGTAACAACGGTAAATAATTACTGAAAATCATTCGACTATTAAATAAGGTAAATTCTATATATATTAAAATTCTATACAATGTTGCATAAATCGACTGAATTTGCCAGTCCAATCTGAAACAAACCTCTTCAACAACTGCGTTTCGACATTTCCTTCATCGTGATCAAATAAATCTTTTGCAAGACGAGCCATATGAATTATAATTTTTAATGAATGTGACTCAACGCTAAGAAATAAGGGCAGGAACTCCTTTATAAAGGAAAACATCGCAAGGCAAACTTCATGGCGGACTAATTGCTGGAAAAAATTTTATAATTTGAAATCGACTACCCTACCGAATAATAAATTTAAAATATTTGTTAGCCATCGAAAAATCAGATAAAAGGAAAATGAAAAATTCAAACGTACCGTCCTTGCGAAAAGGTGGCACTCATATAATGTTTTTATCGCATTTGTGATCAAGTTGAGCATTTCAACTGCACGCGGACTAAAATCATTTTGCTCTGTGAAAGTATTGCCTTTGAAAAAGCGTATAATTTAAGGAAAAAAAGCAATGAAAATACATAGAGCCATTTTTTGCTAATTGCATATATAACGTGTCTAATAAGACCGATTATTAATTGATTAATTGACGAAACCTGTCTTCTTCGTATAAATCCTTGAAATTTTTTAGAAGAAATACTACACGCACCATGAATTTATTTTGCGATATTATGTAGGCTATTCCATATGATTTCTTTTCAAAAAACTAAAATAATGTAGTTCATTTAAGTGCTTTTATAATTTTATTTGCAAAATTGCATTTATAATAATTTTATAATAATTTTAATAATTTTTTTCCAGGAATGCGGATTTGATTCACTCGAATTACATCTTTCAAGAAAAGACTCCTAAAACTCCGTAATCCAAAAACTAGAGACGAGATCCTGGAAAAATTTTAATGAAACTTGGTCAATTTCGAAAGAAATTTTTTTTGTTAGTTTATAAATAGACGATGACGCTATCAATCTTCAAAAATTGTTGACAGAAGATGGCATACAATTCATTTCGCAGCAATAAGATTTATTGAAAGAAAATTTTCATCATTAAATAGCATGAATAAAAAGACTTTAGAAAATCGACATATAAGCATAACTGTTGTATTAAATATAATACATAAAATTGTTATATTGGACAGTGTTGACAGTGTTGATAAAATGTGAAAAACAAATACTAGAGGTTGGTGTCTTCCATCAAATCTATGGAAACACGTGTTTTCCGTGCTAAAAGCCACAACGGATTTATAAATACGATAAAATAAAAGCGATAGAGAGTACTGGTGGGCGAAGCGAGTACGTGCTGTCAATCAGATTTGGCAAGATTTCGTCTATTCCAACTAAGGGACAAACCACGGTTCAAATCAAAGTAATATAGCACTTGTATTTCCATGAATGCAGTAAAACTAACGCATTTTTATAAACACGACAGATTAGTCAATTCCAGATTTGTACATAAGTTTTTTTATCGATTCTACAAAATATTTCACAAACCTGTAGGAATTTTTTAAGAGCTTTTATAATACATCGGATATTATTATTGTAGATACCTTTTTCATTGCAAGGGACAGTTTTCAGTTTCTTCATGAATTCTGCAATATTTACTTCATGAAAATTTATTGAAAATAACCGTATACAGCGATTTAACATTAAGAAATTGCCCTAATAAATTGCCCTAATTGCCCTATATAAGTCATTCCTATTTGTACTTGCAACTTATCAAACAAACTACGTAAAAATTATAGTTTGGTAACATACAACCCGCTCGCACTTGGCTCTAACAACTTAAAGCCTCGTTATCGCTGGCAAAAAACTTACCTAATGCTACAGTGTGGATTGATAAAGAACAAAAAAAAATATTTGAATATTTGAATATCGAAATTGTATCTATTTATAGGTGCTTTCTTTTTACAAAATAAATTAATGAAATGAAATTTTCAGTGGGATTCCCTCCATAAATCATCCACTTGCACTGAATATAGATCAATAATTTTTGCTGTTATTACATATAACTTTTTATAGTTTTAGTTAATTATAAGGTCACACTGGAAGAACCTTAGGTTCTGTTTCAGCGGATTAAGTCAAAAGGTAAGATTGAAGCCGAAGATGGCCCAGAATTCGAATCATTATTGCTCCAATCTTCGTTAATTAAAGGAAAGAAAGACTACAGTTTGTTTGGTAAATGAGACCTTGTTAATTAAAAGGTAATATAGAAATGTGAAAGCTAAAGATTTAAGAAATTCACCACCCTGCTTACTGTGTAAGAATTTTCCTTAAAACAACCACATTAGCATTGGCTCCTTTTGAATGAATAATGCGTGAATCCGTTTGTGTGATAGTACTTTGTGCGATGGCTTATAAAGAGCAGCAATGAATACGGAAACCGATTAAGAGATCAACTAGAGCCATGGATTTCAACGAAATTTATTCTATGGCGAACAAGCTGGTTCCACTGAGGCATTTTCAAGTCACTTGAGCTATTGCAACCCACTCCTCTCACCGACTGAGTTCATATATCGCTAGAACATCTACACTTTTAAATTTTCATCTGGCTGTACTAGCCCAGGTCTTGATTAATCCTTATTGCCTTTGACGTAATCTAATTAGCAATTTGCGAGGCATCAATTTCTGCGAATGTTGGGGAAAAACGTGGTTTATCGACAGACGGATAAATTGGCCTAAGCATTTGGATTATTATTGAATTGGTAGTTCACATACTATCGTATGACACTCCAAATAATGCATTCAAATCACACCCAGGATGTTGCTCTATTGCAGTTAAGTTTAGGTTCAAAAAATTCCTTTCTATTAGGACAAGCAATCTTTAATAGTCTTAAAGGGATATCTCCTATCATTTCCTGATCATCTTTGAAGATACTATTGCTTTGCGAAATAGATGGAATAATGATGGCCAATTTGAGTTGCTCTCCACATTCAAGATCATTGTCCTTTCTGCTGTAACCACTCAGAGTCTGCGGAACTATAAATAAGTAGCGTCTCGCAACTCCGATATTGGACCGTTTCTGCGATATATTCTAAAATTCATCGAACTTAAACTTCTTTGGCATTTCAAAACCCAGCATATTTCCTCGCGCATCTTCGAATCCTGCTATTCTAATTTTACGCTCCTTGACTTCTCACCCTCTCCGCTTCAAATTCCTATTATGCTCTCTAAATATAGTACCTTGCAGCATTTTTATGATTCCTTGAGTTATTAAGGTTTTTTAGGATAAATATTTTTATATATGAGTATGTAAAAATCTTTTTTGAAGATCCTTTAGTATAAAGAAACAGCTAGAATGCATTGAAATTTCGAGTGACTGTTAAGAAAAGTAAGAATTCACGCAATAATATATTTCCGGTGAGATTAGCTACCTTTTGCCAGAGGGTCATTTGGCAGTAGAAGTACAAGTGGTACCCCGTGTTATTTAATAGAAGGTTTGCTGCTGTTAGGAAGAGGAGTAGATTAAAACAGTGCAATAAATCGATCACTTGAATCAATCAGCGAAGAGCTATGTAGTAAATAGCCACATATATTACGGAGCCGAAACTGGCAACTTCCATGTTTTAGACCACCTTATAGTTAGAAATCCGAATAAAATTGATAAAGCGGAAATAATAAGTTCAAAATCTTTCGATTACCTCGAGTCAAAAGATTCAGGGCAGTCAACACATTTTAAACTGAAGTTAGAAACACCAGAAGATTCTAATAACCTTGATTGGTATCTCTGAATTTACAGAAGAGTCCCAGTCTTAGTTGAAGTCATACTTCCACGAGTCACGTTCTGGAATACAACTCGGAAGAAGGCAAACTCGTTCTGAAATGAAAAGATCCAGCTGTCCGATTGCAATTGCGAACTACCAAGACAAGGTAATTTCATTTTAAGTTTAGATCACAAGTTTAACTCCAATAAAACCATCGGAGAAGATGATCTACAAATGCGCTGATAGAATCTTTTATAATCTTCAAAAACTGCATTTACTGGTACAGGAACAATGCGATTGTGGCAAGGCAATTCTATTCTCAAAAAAGGCGATAGGACGCACTCTGACAACTATCGAGAAACATCTGCAGCTTGCTGGATGTTTTTGGGGAAGTTTTTATTCTTTTTCTGACTATAGTCATGGAAGTGGATGACAGCAGGATACATCTTAAGCAAACCGGATTTAGGCCAGGATTTGGCTACATGGCAAATTTTTATTTTTAGAAAATAATGGAATATCGTTTCAAATATCACATTTTACCATTACTTTCACCGACTTCCCGTTATTTAATTCAATCAAAAGGGCCGCGCTCATGCAATACGATGGTGCCAAAAATGTTTGTGTTATTAAAGCTTTTTATAGTGCACATCAATGCGGGTGTATATGTATAGAGAATGAACTTCTGAATTTCTATCGATGCAGAGATTAACTCGTCTTATCTTCATTGGTGGTTCCCATAAGGCTCCTACAATTTCCCTACTTTGCGATAAATCGAGCTATGGACACCACTTGTCGACGTACAAGATCTTTACAAATCAGTCCAAAGTATAGTCTATCATGAACCCTGTATGTGCTGATAATGTTGTCCTCATTATTGATAGTTAAGGCAATGAACGCTAATAGACGGTGTCGACCAGCAACAGCGAAAATTGGCCTTCAAATCAATGTAAATAAGACTGCTCTTTTTGTTTTTTATATCAGAAGTTGATAAGATAGCGTAATTTAAATAAATTACGCTATCAACGGTGAAAAAAGCGGTAAATTATTAATATCTCAGATCCACTCTCATATTTAATCAATTAGACGACAGAAGCTGGAATAATTCCAGAGGTGCATATTTTTTTCTGCTGAAACCTCTCTGAAATCGCTGCGAAATCAACTTCGAAACAAAAGTTCCTATCCAGCTGTAGTATACACAATACTGCTATAGGGCTGCGAAACTTGGCCAGTGGTAATGAAAAACATCAAAGCCTTTGGCCGTTTTTGCCTAAAATGCATACATTATTACATGCTGGACAAAATTTCACCTGATTACATCTAGCTTCGTTGGAATGCCATCTGCATTAAGAATATTGTTTTTTTGTGACCCTACACACATCTTGCTACTTATTAAACTCTATAATGGACTGCATTAAAATCATAGAAGTTCAAGATTTGGAATGATGCGGTCAA